TCACGGAGAGCTCCGTAACTTAAAAATTGGTATACTATGCATTGAAGTAACAATGATCAAAGTAACAGGCATTGTAAGGGAAACGACTCCAGTTCATTGTATTTTACTGCAGCTTTATTTGTTTGTTACGTGGTTGGTGGGAAGACTCCAAATGGAACTGGGGAAACTGGGGAAAATGGGATGTTCAAAGAAGGAAGCGAGATGAAATGTTGTTTTATCATATGTTTTCAAACTTATGTCAGAACATATGCTGTTTTGAAATTTCGGGAAGTGACTCCCTCCACTCGGTTACAAGTAGTGGACAGGTGCAATAATTAGAAATGGAATATACGTGGTAAACACTTAAAGTTTTCTTTTCCTCAAGACAGCAAAGAGCTATCTTAAGATGGAATAATTGTTACAAAAGAAGAATATTAGCTGGTATGTGTACTTTTCTTGTGGTCGTGGTTCGTGGCTTTGAACCGAAATTATAGTGTTTTGATTATGTTTAATTAATATTGAAGTAAGAACTCTGAAAATTTTTTTGAAAAGAAACATTTTGGTGGTTTTGTTTTTTAAATCGGTATGAAATGTGCTGCTTCTTATAAAGGAGACTTACTACCAAACTTAAGACGAATTACAAGTGTTCAATGGTTTTATCCAATCCAGGCTCAGCTTGAACATTTTCGGCGCCCTAGGCGATATGGTTGGCGCTCCGCATAAATAAAGTATAGTAAACATATTAAGAAGTAAAACCGAAATGTACCTTTAATTGTCGCTTTTAAGAATAGTATAACTGCGCTTCGGCGGTGTCGAAGTCGGCGGTGACTTGCATACGATATGTATAGTTGGAGTTTGTTCTGAATTAATCAGCCGATTGTGGGACCATTTAACGAAGGAAATGTCGTGATAAAAATATTTGAGCACTGACTCTGAAAAGAAAGGTTGAAACGGGAATTCCTCTTGCCTAACCTCTCGAGGGAGCCTGAAATGGGACGACTGGCAAAAAAACCTAACATGGAAGAACCTGAAGTGGGACACAACCGATAAAATGTATAACTAAATAAGTTTATTGATTCTTTTTTATTATATTATTATTATTTATTTATTTCGTCTACATTCCAATGAGGATTTTATTCTCAAGTACTACTCATAAATTCCACATGCCTTCCTGTTTTACAGGACACAAAAATTCAGTACTATTAATAAAATTTTTGGCAAATTAGAAAATGTGTTAGCGTATATTTGGCAAAACTAAGAATTTCTTTTAAAAGTAGTTATAATCAATGTTCAACCAGTGCTACATTATCCGCACAGCCAAAAACATCAGTAAGCATTAATAATATCAATTTGAACTTGTATTCTAAACAAATTTTCCCAAATTATCTTGCTTGTACATAATTTTCCATGTTAACGCGCTACTTTTCCTTATAGCGGCTCTACTTTCAATGTTTATCTTACTCAGTGCAGTTAACCTGACTATTTCATAACTTCATTTATTTATTTTCTGTTATTTTAGCACAAATCCATATTAAGTAATTTCAGTATAATTTTCTTCATTTACAAAGAAACAGGTCTGAGCCATTAACACGCAGGATAATTGGGATCAAATTTGCCTCAAAGAATACTTAATGAAATTTCCCATTATAAACCAGTATTTGTGTATTTGATATATATATATATAAACTTAAAGCATCTAAATAAATTAGTAAATTGGAATAAAAGCAAAGCAGTTCCTCTATAATATAATAATTGCAACGGTGTATAAGAGGTTTAACACAATATAAAAATTAATTCAGTTAAAGAAAGAATTCATAGTGGAACAAGCTCGAAAATTAAAAATGGAAAAGGAAAAATATACAAAATGATACAAATAAAAATTAATCTCCTTTTATTGAAACCCCAATTCAGAACTCCTCAAGGGAAAATGAATTAAAGCTTCATAAAAGTCGATTAATATGTTTCGAAAATATGTTTTTGTTCTCTTGGTCTATTTGAGATCAAAAACTGCAAAAAGATTTCTACACATTTTTATTAAAGACTTTAAAATTCATATAAAACCGAAAACTCGAATCTCAGATGTACCAGAGTTTTCCGTATACATTTTCGAAACACTTGGAAAAAAGAATAAAACATTATATAGTGCCAAAATGACAATTAAAAAAATTATAGAACTTTACATTATGCAGAGAGAAAGACAAAGAGGTGCTTTTGATTTTCAATAAAAACAATGTTTAGAATTTATATTAAAAAATTTTTCATATCTCTTTCTTCCAGGAAGGAAAATATCTTGAGAGATATCTTGATATCTTAAATCTAAATGCGCTACCAAATCCGGTGTCAAATTTTTTTTTCTAAAAATTTAGAAAATAAGACATCAGAAATAAGAAATTAGAACATATATATAATATATATATGTATGTATGTATTATTAGAATAAATATCCCTTTTAAATAGATTTCTTTACATTACGAATCTAATAACTTCAGAAAATTTATCGAAATTGCTCAAACTTATTTCTTTGCAGGGTTTGCATTTTTGAATTTATTTAGTGCTTCAGATTGTTGATATAATGGATTGTAAATTTCAGGCAAAAAGTATTTTAAGAGTGCAATCTGGAAAAGTGTTTTTCGTCTTTGATTGTCTGGACTTCATAGTTATTAGAGTCTGTTATGAAATAGAATAATTTTAAAGGAATTAGTTTATTTTTAATCATATTTCTGTTCTGTAAAAAGTAGTAAAGAGAATATGAAATAAACCATTTAATAATAGTGATATATTGCAGATAATTATATAAAGTGATCAAAATGACAAATATTATTAGTTAATTTATGCCGTATAGTTGATGCTTTTCTCTAGACAGCAATGTTTAGTCATTATCATATTCATTTCCTTTCTTAAACTATGCAAAGAAAATTTCATTGCAGCTAAAGAATTGCTAAATACCAAAATTATGCTAAGGTAATGATCAAGAGTCTCGTTAAATTCTGGAGGACGAGGGTACCGTAAATATGGTTGCAAACTGGAATTGATTAAACAATCCGGAAAGCATTGAAAGAACATACTTTCAGGGGCTTTAATGGTCACTCACCTTATTTTTGTATAGAAAAAGTGGGACTATAAGGATACAATTACAGGATAATTTTCAAATTATAAACCGGAGCCCTTATGATTCTAGGCAGTAACCAGGATGTTGTTGCAGTAATTCCCTTCGAGGGTCCATCCCGGCACTGTGGAGGAAGGGCAACGTTCTCGGACAGGTGGCCTAACTGGCCCGCCACCAAGCTGCTAGAGGCCTCCCAATATGCGGGGTATGAGCAGTGTCTTAGTGGTACATTCAACAACATACTCACAAAACGTTGGTAGTGATTACGTTGCTTCAGGCTCGGCGATGCTCAAATGGGGTCGTCATATCGGAGCAGGTTTATGTGAGTTTAACAAGCCGGTGATAGAATGTTATTCTAGTCTTGGGAGCAGATAATTCCAATAGTGTTTTTGAAGTGATAGATGAAATTATATTTTATAAATATATAAAGAAGACTTATATATGTAAATATCTTATAATATATATATATATATATCAAGCCGTCTGATCACATGATCATTTTATTTTACACTCAGCGTGATTAACGGTCGTCTGATCACATGATCAGTTTAACACATCGATTGAAAATCACGTATTAATCAGTTTATCCATAACATAGTTATCGTCAGAAATATTATCCTAGTTTAGAATGTTTTAATATTCATATAACAAAAGATCACTGTATGTAATATAATTTTCTTACGTCTTCATCCATTTGAGAAATTTTTCACTAAAATTGGTTTTATGAGAATAGTTTAAATGTAATATAGGTAAAGAAATGAATGAAAGGAAGAAGAAATGACAGGCAAAACGTTAAAATCTTTTCTCTTTTGCTTCGTTTCGTGTTTTCTTTCATCTTTTAGTGAAATAATTATTAAAGGAACTGCAGTAAATTTAAAGACAGGAACTTAATTTTTTTTTGTCAACTAAATTCCTGTTTTTTTTTTTTTTTTTTCTAAACTTAACTGTTGGGAGATTTAATAATATGGATAGATTACAGTTTCCCATACTCAAAGTTCTGAGTTTTTTTACTTCAATCCATGTACTTAGTAAATAATTAAGCTTTGGTTTGCAGCATTTCGTCATCTTGCATTCTGTTAAGTCTGTAAATCAAAAATGAGTTTTTTTCCTAAAGCGGAGTTTTCCTAAACTGAGTTTTCTTCCAAAAAATGTTAAGACGGTGTTGCCAAAAAATGACTGGTGGAGATATTTTTATAGTATCTGTAATATAATCTATTGATCAGGTGAACTCTTCAAAGAGACAGAATTGTTTACTGCTTACGGTTCGTGTAACATACGTACAGTTTCTCAAAGATTCATTAAAATACAATAACATGCAGAACAATTATTAATTTAGAAGTCAAATAACAAAAATCAGCGTTATATTTTCAAATTTTCACAGTACTAGTTGCGATGATGTTACCGAACCATCATCCCCAGCTGCCAAAGTGCAAAGTTGAAATAACTGTTCATGTTATTTCTTTAATTTAACACAACGGGATTTCAACATAAATATTTTTCAGATAGGTGTTGGATTTTAAATAACTATCTGTTAATAGATATAATTTGCGTAAGATTGTGATCTAATGCAAATTATATCTATTAACAGACAGTTATTTAAAATCCAACACCAAGTTACATGGCATTCAAGATAAAGTTTAAATCCATATCACTTTTTTATTTCCCATTTCAGGAGTATTTTATTTTGAAGTTCTCAGATATTTGCATCTGCTTTTGAGGCACCAGAAATAACTTACGAGCTCTGTTTTCAACTTCTTTTTTAACTATTAATATTCATTTAAAATCTAATTTTATGAATTTCATATAGGGTGTTTCGTGACAGTTTTATAACCAAGAAACTTCATTAGTAAAGTAAAGTGAGCAAATGATAACATAGACATGTATCGTGTATCAGTACAAGGAGAAATCAGCTTACATTGTGTCTTGCATCCTCGGCTAGCAACCTAAGAATTCCGGCCTTCTTCTTGATGTCATCCGATCTCTTAGAATAGGGAATGATATGTGATGTGGAATTGCAAATGTGGGATTCTATACCTGAAATTACAAATGGAAATAAGTCTTGAATTCTGTCATATGGATGAGAAATGATATCTACAAAGGAAGAGTTCTTCATGGGAAATTATGTTGACTTCCACATATGAAACAAAACCATTTGACAACCTTACCATTGCATTAAGTACTAAGTTTAAATGAAAGAGAATACTTTAAAAAATATATTTCTGTAGTATTTGTTACAAAATTCTGGAACTAGCAAATTCAAAACGTTATTTAATTTTAGAGTAAAAAAAAAAAAAAAAAAAAAAAAAAAAAAAAAAAAAAAAAAAAAAAATCTCTAACATTTTATATTATGATTGAAAAAAATTAACAGTACTTTACAAAACGATTAACTTTCTGATTTAAAACAAAAAATTAAAGAAAATTTTAAAGAAAAATTCATTCTAAAATAAGCTTATGGAATTTAAGTATTTTATATAAAATAATTATATAACATTTATCAATTAATTACAGCCTTTGAACTTTTAGATTTAATGAATTTAGAATTGCAGTTTCATAATACCTCTGCAGCCAAAATATATAGCCAACATAAGAGTTTCGATTCAATGTATTTTTCTTAACTTATTGTTGCTTCAAAACCATTGTGAGACACATTTCAAAGTTCTATTCTGATTTTTTGTGATAAAATTAAATAGGCAGAATAAAATATTTCACATTAACATCAACAAAAAAGGATTTCAGACACACACAAAAAAAAATATTTTCTTTTAATTTAATTCTTTTGTGATTCAGTTTTGAAACCTAAAACAGTGCTTTCAGAAATTCAGCAAAATGAGGCTAACATTTTTAAAATGAGACATTAATATATGAAAGGGGAAAAAAACATTATCCAGAAAAAATGCAATTTGGTTAAGAGGGCTTTTCTTACACGTTGATTTCATAAAGCTGCTTGTACTTTTGAATTTAGGAAATACAACATGGTTTGATCTTTTCTACTTTGATATGGTTAGAAGATAAATCTTTCAATACATTAAAAAAGAAAATCAGTTAGTTGTATGAAATTGTTATTTTTATATAGCAGTAAATTTAATACAAATGTTTGGCAAGTATGTAAATATAAATGTATGAAGTTTATGATGTAAAATCATGTAATATAAAAGAATGAAGTTTATAATATAAAAGTATGAAGTTTATAATATAAAATTATGTAATATAAAGGTATGAAGTTTATAATGCAAAACTATGAAGTTTAAATCACCATAAATTCAGATACTCTTTCAGTCATTATTTATGATTCAACTTTGCATTAATTTATGATTAGATTTTATATTCATCGTGTATTTTTCAGTTTAAACCAAACCAATTTATTATGTCCAAAAATAAACAAGTATGTCATATGTGATATGATAATAAATTTCGATTTAATTCATGCATTTCAAAATATTACAATTTACATGTTTTATGTTAATAAAATTGTTAAGAAATTTTAGGACATAGTTTAGTATTGTCACAGGAATCTAAATACAAAACTTCATTTTAAAAAATCACAATACTGTGCAAAACTAATGGATTCAATACCTTAAATAGCTAATTTATAGAGTGTATTTGAAGGAGACAAATGCAATTGTTTGAATTTATTCCAGACACCTATAAATGTAATGTTTTCTGCTTAGTTATCTTTCATATATTTTGCTATTCAATCAGTTTTTTAAATGGTTATATCTTACTTTAGAAAAAAAAAAAAAAAGCTATTTTTAAAGTTAGAGTATCCAGAGAACCAGATTTACTGATCAGATAGCCTGGCTCAATAAAAGTAGGCGGCCAGTGTAAATCTGATTCAAAATCCGGTTACGACCACGTGTTTCTGAGATTCCTTTGCCAACGCTTTATTTTTCTTCTTTTTCGAGGAGGGACCTTTAGCTGCATTCGAAATCGATCGAGTATTTTAATATATGTACGATAAATACAAGATTGTTATTGAAATTTTAATCCAGAGAACACTTGAAGAATAAAGTTAGCATACGTTTTAGTAGCTTTTGGATTATTGTACGTGTAAGAATAAGTCTGCCCTTAGTTTTCGTTATGTATTGATTATCTGTGCATATGGGTCGAATTTCATATATCAAAATGTAAGAATTTTCATTAGAGAATATTTGTTTATTTTAATAGTAAAAACCACACAAGAGTTATTTGTTTAAAAGAAAGAATATTTCTGTGGAAAACGTTCAGTGGTTCATATTTACGTTTCTCTATTAGGAAATATACACTAAGACAGTCGAGCTCGATAGCTTGCTAAACAATTGTTCTCAAACAAGCATAAGGAGAATACTGAAAGAGTATTCTAAGGTAACGAGCTTTCAAAATACCGTTTCAGCACGGGTAGAAAACCGATTATAACAGCAAGTGGTAAGAGGAGATCACAAACTAAGAAAATCACAAACTAAGAAAAGAATACTCTTAGGAGATAAAAAGAAATAAGTGCTAATGTCTCTAAATCTACAGCTTTTGCATGCCTTGTAAAATGAACTCTAGTATTTTGCTAGCAACATAATATGTTGATTTAGAATGCATAAAATTGAAGCATCGCCAGTTAATTAAAAATTTTACATAATTGTAAATCATAATTTCCCAACCTCTTTTTGGCTTTACTGCTACCTTTTCCAAGATCTTTTCTCTCAGCGCCCCTTATATTTATAATAGTGATACAGTATTAGATGTTTTCAGAATGGGCCTCGTCGGGAAGTGATTGCAAACATTTAAAAAGTTTTAGATATTTACTTTACGGGAACTGTATTATTAATTAACCCCTTGGGTACATTTGACGTCTGAGACACGTCATTCACTTTTTTTCCCCTAGGAGCGGATGACGTGTCTAAAACGTTATTTGAGGTTAGGCACAATTCTGTTCATTTCATTGTAGCTTGTGTCAGTCATAATAGAAGAGGCAATTACAGTATTTCGGTGAACATTATTTGCGATACACTGCCCCATTATGTAAAAAACAAGGAATATATTTTATGATAGTGGTAGCGAAAGTAACTTTGAGAAATCTAAAGAAGAATTGTTTAGTGATCCTGAAATTGACAATTACAATGAAATACAAAGCGAAGGTGTGAGAAGACGATATTGAACTAGAAAATGATGACAATTGTAATATAATATCAAGGTTTCGAAGACGCACAAGACGTCTATCGAGCAGTAATAGTGAATCTTCTCGTGAACCAGTATCAGAAGAATGGATTTGGGAAAGAGAAGAAAATGTAGCTGATATAAAAAGTTTTTCTGAAACATATGGAATTAATCCTTTGAGCCTGCGTAGACTAGGTGGTAATCCTACGCCTTTAGATGTTTTGAAAGAAGTCTTGAATGAAGATTTTTGGGACACTATAGTAGAAGAGACGAATAGATATGCCAGACAAGGGATAGAAAAAGAAGGTTGTGTAACAAAAAAAAAAAAAAAAAAAAAAAGGTGGTTTCCTGTAAGTTTGGATGAAATGAAAGCTTATATTGCATTATGCATCTTGATGTCGCAAATGAAGAAGCCAAAACTGCATATGTATTGGTCAAAAAGATGTGCAATAAGTACTCCAATTTTTGCCAGCCACTATGGCACGCGATTAGTTTTGATATTTCAAGTTTCGACATTTTACGGATAATGAAAAGGAAAATAAGATGACAGAATAAGAAAGATTAGAAATATAGTGGATTACTTAAATAATAAATTTTGTTACCTTTATACTCCTGATAGTGAAGTAGCTATTGATGAATCGCAATCAAAAATTATATCCGTTCCACATGCAAATATTTTCTCAAATAAATCCGTACCCAAGGGGTTAAAACTCCTCACGGAATTCAGAAACATAATGGCAATGCTTAAAGATTCCTCAAATTATTTATATCAATGAACCAGACAAAGATGCACAGCTTTCTGCCACAGAAAGCACAGGGAAAGCATATGCTATCTGTACATATGGAATATCGCTACAAAGTAATGGTTCTAAGTGAACGAAATTATTTTTATAATTTTGTTCACTTGGAAATTTATAACTTCGTTCCTACATGTAATTTGAATCAACATATGTGAAAGACTAACTGGCATGGTTTAATACTATCCTTGGAAAGATGCTTGATTACGATGTTCGTATAATCAAGTGTACGTTTAAATGCTCATACTAAAGGTGTTAAACCAATCAAAATTTCCATGAATGTTTTTACTGCGCGTTTGTTTCTCAGTGCCCCTTTACTACCTCTCAAACCATTGATATGCCCTAGATCTCAGTGTCCACCGATGACAGATAATGCCCACGCTGGCAAACTATATTGTAAATAACTTATATCATTGAGAATTTACTTGCACTGCAAACAGAACAGTTTTATAACTCTATTTTAATCTTGGGTTCATACGCTGTGCAATAAAGAGGTAACACTTTGTATTTGATCAATTTGACAAGATAATGTGGCTAAAAATAAGGAGCGAGGAATTACTTTAATGTAATTTCACAGTATTTCAAAACACATGATCAAATTCTAAACAGGAACCTGTTTAACCTATTTGGCACTTCATTTAATATTATACGTAAAAACAGTATCATATTAGAAATATATTATTTCTTTCAATATTCACAGAAAGAGTTGTAGGAATTTTACTCTATCGCGGAGGAGGAAAAATTAGAGTTCAAAATGATGATAAAAAAGTTGCTATTTTCAGTTCTTCCTTCCGTGAGATGAAATTCATGTCTTTTGTAGTCAATGTGTGTTCAGGGTATAATTTTCTATTAATCTAACAATATCTTGTTCGCCTTCTGAAGATGTACATTTATAATGCAAGGACATGTGAAAAGTTCTTTATGTAAAATATTCAATATGTAATTGTTCATGTGCGATTCTGTGTTTTCATCGTTTGTGTTTAATAGGATAAAAAAAAAAAAAAAAAAAAAAAAATTGAAAATGGACAAAAAAATTAATTCGCAGATAGAAAATTCAGTCAACAAACATTTAAACATATTTGTGCATTTCAGGATACGAACAAACTTACATGAGTTGGAGAGTAAGGTGATTTCTGTTGATCCGTATTCGGCCAGAGTCAAATCTCCCGCCAATGGTTGGGAAGGATCGTTGGGTCTCACAAGCTGGTATTTAGAAGTGTCCAGCCCCTTCTCATGGCACACCATGTTGCGCAGTTCAGCAACTTTCATCCTGGGGGAAACTCGAGCCACGGTCAGCTGGTTTCTCGGCAGATGAACCTGGACACGGAACGTCGGCTGGAAAGACAATGCTTTGCATAAGAGAAAGTGGTAATAGCAAAACAGGTGTACAGCGTTTTGTGCAGTGACTCCGGAATTGAGGGTCAATTTTGGTAGGCCACGAAACGCTTGAAGTTTACTTTTGCTATATAGTTATGCACATTTATTTATAATTGAAAACTAATGCGTAAATATTAAATAATTATTAATAATCATATGCATTATGTTATTCTTATTTCATCATTACACTGACTTTTAACACTGACTTTTAAGGCTGCTCTTTCTCTTTTGTTTCAAACATTTTGTATGCATACGGGGCGGACGTTAATTCGCATCTATATAAATATAAGTTTAAAGATATGTTGGGCCTCGAAGATAAAAATTTTGGAAACGACTACTTGAGAGAAAACAAAATAGTACTTTTTAGAATAAACAAATACGAAACTAAAGTCTAAGATTTAAAAAAGAAATTTTTATTAGAAGTTCTCCCTGTACCACATACTATGTACCACATGAGGCTTACAGAAGTAAGTATGAAACACAATACAAAATAAACAGAAGAGAAAATTGAAACAAAATTAAGAATGATTACAAAGTTTTACAATGAATTGACGAAAACTGTTAAAAGCACTTCTCTCAGAAATAAATCGGTAAAATTCTGGAGGCCAGTTAAGGTTAAAATTTTTCAGTCCCAGTTTCGAGACTTTTCTTTCGCTCTCATATTTAGGACATAGAAGAAGCACATGTTCAACATTCTCCTCGCCACTGAGGCTACAGTCAGACAAGACTCGTGGCTCAACTTAAATCTGTTCGGATAACTTTTGAATTTATCATGGCCAGTAAGAAATTGGGTTAATTTATAGTTTGTGAAGAAGTGATGACATTACAATCTCATTTTGTTGGAAGGGGAAAATCTCTTAGTTAAGCTCCCTTTAACTATTATTTAACTTGAATTCCATAGTTCTAAACTATCATTTTAATTAAAACAATTAACATAATTTCTTATTATCATAATTCTAAACCATTTTTCTAATTTGAATATAAGCAATTTCCACCTAATGTCTTAAATTTAGCTAACTGCGAATTAAAAACAATCTGCAGGTAAGAAAGAAGAAATGCTTTCAATGCAAACAATCATACCCAAGAGTTTAAAAATTTTCACACAGGTACCTCACATAGAACGCAGGCGGTTGAATCCGTAATGAACAGCGAGAATTTTGATGTATTAGAATGCTGAAACGCTGATCCACATATATAAGAAATTTGGCAGTCGAGGTATATTTAATTCAACTTTTATTTCAGTAAACATGTTGGGCCACAATCAAGTTGGCACATTAATTGTGCCTATACCGAAAGGTTTTACATTTTAACTAAATTTGAAATAAGAAAGAAGGAAGACACTGACTACAATGCAGCTGGGCTAAAGCGTAGAAAAAGGGTGGGTTATAATCAGAGTGAAATCTTAATTCAGACTGAGTTAGTTTTGGTTTTCAATGCATTTTGACTGGATAATTAATATTGCTGTAAAATTACTATTGGTTGCTTAAGTTTTAATTCCATTTACATCATCAGAACTATGTAAGAGTCATATGACATGAATTAATCTCGAAATGAAGCAGTGCAGAAAGAGGTTACTATTTTTAGCATACAGAAGGGAATGTAAGCTGCTAATTTAATCTTTTACATATATATGTAAGCTATAAGAAAATACAATGGCTGCTTTAAAAATAATTGGCGACCTCAAAATTAGCGCTTCTAGATTTGGTGATCTCCCCCTAAATTCATCTTGTAGAGCCATTAGGTTTTGTTTGGAAGCAGGAGAGATGAAAAATGAGTAATGCCCTCGCCAGGACTCGAATCACGGACCTCTTGAATGCGCGACGAGTGTGCTAACCACTACACTACGAAGGTATGCTAAAAATTCGGGAGAAATACCTTATATACTCCCCCTTTTAAAGGGCGACTGGGAATTAGGGGACCGAGTCGCCAAATCCTGGGGGTGGAGAATCATCACACACCACCCTTTTAGTTCGAGTGCCACTGTAGAGACATTAGGTTATTTCGAAACAGGAGATGTGAAAATGAGCAATGCCCTCGCCGGGACTCGAACCACGGGCCTCTCGAATACGTGCCGAGCGTGCTGACCACAACACTACGAAGGTATGCTAAGAAAGCGGGAGAAATACCTTATAATCTGTTCTCCCAAATTCGAGAATTTTCTATATTATGTAACAACCTCAAATTAACCAATCACAGATTAGCTCTACTTATACCTTAGACTTAATACAAATACTCTTGGCGCAAAAAACTACGTCATTCCTCTACTAGCTTCGGCACTGCTAATACATCACCATCGCTTCTCTTTTTAACTGACTACGTCATTTCCTTTTAAAAAGCCAATGTACATAGAAATTTATCATATTTAATTATGATTGAAGAAAAGTCTGCCAAACTAATTGGATATGTGGGAAAATAAAGACTGGTAATTTGTCGAAATTCAGTTTTGTTGCCTTCATCTGTATACCTTAACCAACAGCCATGACTGTTATCGAAAGGCGTTAAGAGTTCCAGGCTTCGACTGCGCATTCAAAATCATTACACACACACACACACACATATATATAGACATTTTTTTTATTCTTTATAAAAGTAAAGTATTCTTCAAAAAGTAAAAGTTTTGGTAAAATTATTGATTCTTAACATTATTGGCCAATTTGAGGAGTGTGCAGAAGAATGGAAATATAAGGGCTCGAAGAGACAATAAAACATGCAGCGTTAACTCATAATCTTCAAAGTAATCTTGAGATAGCATAAGCCTTTAAATTTTGCAAGAGACTACAGTGTGGAGGTTATCATAGTCTCTAATATGTGGCATTGAGGCAATATGTGGATTACAAGATAAGTTAACTCTGACCTCTATGTTCACGTATAAAAAGTCTACAAATTATTACCTCGTGAAACAACTGAAGGCCATTTTTAGCTTGTACTAAAACTAAACATCTTTTGAGACAACATGATTATTACTATATTGTAGTTCCTTAGACGGAAAGTTATTACGAACTGATCCTTGCTTCGAAGACCACAGATTCTTATTTGGAAGCTGTTATATGTCTGCTTCTTTGTATGCTTCTTCAAATTCTCTATAACATTCAAAAATTACTTTTTATAACAGCATAGTGATAAATCGAAACATTGCAGGATTAATTCTGAAAAGCAGTTAATATAATAAGATTTCAACATTACATTCAAGAGTGCTAAAGCAGTATTCACCAAGTCAGTAAAAACTAATGTAACTTCCGTTAAGAGAAAATCTTACGTCAGAAGCAAACAGTCCTATGTTATATAAAAGACAAACATTCGGGAAGCTGTCCCAGTAAAAAAGTTCGCCCGTCATGAGGAGGGGGGGGGGAAGGTATTGCATTGAAAAATATTAATGCCATACCAATTTTTGCAAGGTGATTCAAATTATTTTTCCTCTTGTACATACCTATATTCTAGTTTAAAAACTTGCATATATATTAAACGAATTCAATATTGTTAGTCATTTTTATTACATTCTTAGTTATGCGAAATTCATGACTGATTTAGAAATTTGTATTTAAAATCATCTTAAAATATTCCTTATGTAATAATAAGGAATTTTTAGATTATTATGCAAATGCAATCAAAATTAATTTTTTTTCAGTAACCGAGAGTAATGCCAGAAGGTAGTCGTCGTTTAGAACATGAAGACTGCAAATTTAAATAAGACTTGAGAAAACAGAACGTCTTATTATAGTTTTCGTTTTCTACCTCTGCAATAAATAGCTATATGAACAAAAAGACAAAATGAGATATTCCTCTTCGATCAGATTTTTCGGAGGAAATGAAAAATTTTTTGACTTACTTATTACGAAATTATCATTCAAGAAAATTTCCTTATGCATTTGGAAAACTATACCGCATTTAAATAAATAACTTAGAGAAATAGAAACTTAATTTAAACGTAATTTTACTGGCAAAAGTTTATTAATTTAATGTAATAACACAAGCCTATAACACTGAATAATGAGGTAGATGTCGCAAAGCTGCTTCTTAATCGTCCTGCCTTTATTTTTATTGCAATATTACTTCCTTTTAAAACGCAGCAGATAATTCACAACGCTTCGGAATACGTTTTTTTCTTTCATTTCTTTTATTTTTTATTGTCTAAGTTAATCATTACAATTTAAGCACGCAATTTTGTATTTTTGAATTGCATGTTTAAATGTAAATTGCATTCATTCTTGTATTTTAAATTGTATATATTAATTACATAGTAAGGACAGTTTTTAATGCTTTTCTTAGAAACAAAGTACGAATATTTTATGAAATCGAATTAGATTACTTTTATAGGAATCTTTGTCTAAATATTAAGAAAAAAATATTTAAAATTGTAAAACGATTCCTTTTCCTTTAAGGTGGAAAATATAATTTTTTTTTTTTTTTTTTATTCAAATAAAAGATAAAAAATGTCTTCATTATTCAGAACGTTTTTTCGATCGGATATAATACTCGTTAAAAAATTCGTAAGTATTTGCAGGTTTGAACTGTATATTTATTGTGTTAAACTGACACTATTTTTATTTTCAAAAATTCCAATTATTCTTATTTAATATTAATAAATTTTAAGAAGATATTATTAAAGGCATTAATTAATCAATAGCTAGACGATTTTGATAAATTACAGGCCAGAAAAACGCGTTTAGGAAATGAATTTTTTTCAGTGGAAGTGAATAAATACAAATAGAGACAATAGTTATCATATGTTCTTGATGAATATATTCAGCTATTATTTTGATAAGATACTGTGAAATGTGCTCGAGCTTACTTCGAAAGGTCTATTTGCCAACTTGTGTGTTCTTTTCCCATGATTTTCGATGGAGTCTTTTTTAGGCACAATGCAGATGGTGTTAGTATCCAGGGACCCAATAGGAGTACTTGGTTTGTAGTGAAGACTACCACTCTCTTTGCCACCGTCCCTAAAGACATGGATGACATGACCTGCAGGACTAATCTTTGTGGCCGAGGCGGCTTGGACGAGGAGATCCATCATCGGAGTCCTACACAGAAAACTAAGTTGTGGTAATTATGCTCGTTGTGACATTGCTTCATTAATTATACTGAATGAGGATAAAAAATTGTAACTACGGATGTTATTATATTTATCAACTACAAATTCCGTTAAATATATATATACATCTACCATCTCATGAATGTGTATGGAGCCATTAAAAATGTAATGTGAAAGTTCCGTTCCATTTGCTGATAATAGCAATTTTTTGAGCCATCCTTTAGTATAGCCCACCCAGAATTTTCACCAAAAAATATCGTCAAGCATGGCGATAAATGTTCGGATGTGGCAACCCATACTGGAGTACGAGCATGTAATAACCCATACCATATGGCAAACACGATGCAATTGCAATGTAAACAACAGTAAATTTCTAGTACTTTCTGCTGCTTCTGGAAAGCAATAAGAGGACGGTGACGAACTATCGTTCACTACCTTTTAGTTCGGGCGCCACTTGCAGAGAATTTTTCCAAGGAAGGAAATCGAAAAAAATCCACAATGTTCTCGCCGGGATTCGAACTACGAAAATCCCGAATACACGTCGAGCGTGTTTCCAGTTACACCACGAAAACAAGCGAGAAGTAGGAAGAAAATATTTTATACATTAATAAGTCGAACAAAATATTAAAAACTGTATTTATTGCTTTTAAACCGCTTATTTGCTATTCAATAACCTTGCAGATTAAGTTTGAAAGAAACCCAGGCTTTACCGAATGGGAACACAATAATAATAAAGACAGAAAAGATAAAATTCTTTATTTTTCGACCACTGCAACATATTGCTTTCATACAGCCGAGTTTGTTAATTAAATGTGGAAGATAAATATCTCACATTTTTCGGAATGGCAACAGTCAGCCCGAAATAAAAATGTTTTATCTCGAATAGTGTTGTTTGTTCATCAAAATTTCACTAAAGTTTCACAAAATACGAAATAAATAATAAAATTAATTCTAAATTCAAAATTTGAGCTTCAAGGTGACATATTCGGACTGCGTTATTCAAAATTTGATGGCTCTAGGTACGTCGGTTTTCATACATACGTACACGCAGATTCGTTATTTAATTTCTTTAAAAATAATACAGGGCGATAATATTTTGTGGCAACAACTTGAAAAGTAATCCACCGTTTAAAGAGAACCAACGTAAAATTCCATTTAGAGATTAATAGCCCCTTTTGGGCTAAAGCAGAACAATAAAAATCATTAGAAATGAAGTAACTGAATTAGAAATGGCGTTAAAGTACAATATTTACAAAAGGACTTAAATAATGCCATTGAGATTTCATTTATTTTTACATTTGAGCAATTTAGTTTTAACGGATGATCTAGCAATGTCTGTATATTCCGGATACGTATAACCTAAATACGTATTGTTGTGGATATAAAATAGTCCCAAATACTAGAATATCATTTGTTGTCACTGTTGTCATTCATTACGCACCTTTTCTATTTCTTTTTTGTATTATACGTGAATTGTTTTGCACTGATCATTAATGGTAATAATTTTTCTTTACTTTAGGAATAAACAAACCTAACAGATATTTTTTTCTGTAGAAGTACCAGTTATTTGGGAACTGACTTATAATTAGTAAGTGATCTGTCGCTATTCCCTGTAGAATAAATAATAACCTTATCTAAATCTTCAATTTACAGTCTTTAAAATATCTAAAACTACTGGTAATTATTTGTAAGCATTTAGTACTATTAATATTTGATCTTAAAAGATGTTCTAAAGATTTACAAGTTTTATTCCTTAGGCACCAGTGGTGCGTACCTTTTACAAACCCTTGCTGTTTGTACTTTTTTTGAGAAATTTCTGTTTTTACAGTATTTCAGAACCTCAGTTGACTGAACAAGTTTCCACATCAAAAACTGAGAAATTCTGTTTGAGAACACTAAAAATAAAATATTTTCCAGAACAGCTTCTGCCTATTATACATCTTCAGAAAAAGTTAAATCATACTTTTAGAAAGCAAACCACGTTTGAAAAAATATTAAGCATTATATTTACCCGAGTGATACGCTTTATACGCTTTATATTTACCAAAGTGATAGGCTGCTCACTATCCCATAACAACCCACGAGATAAATGCTCTTAATTTTTTACCGATAAAATCTAGTGAATATTTCTTAAAAGTCTTTGGATATGAAACAGAATGGGTGTCTAATGACTACGCAACTGATAAAGCTATTTATTAACCACGCAGATTTTGTCAAGGCTTGCTAACTTGAAACGGAGAGAGAACTTCTTATCAATGAAGAGCTACTGATAACATGATACTGAAGTTATTGACAACTTTTTCCAAATATCTGTGAAGTTCCGTAAACCAGGTATTTCTTCATAATCTTACTCAATAAGGAGAAAATTATTTAATTATAAATGCACACACAAAATGAAATTAAGAAGGTGTAAGTAACATGAACTACTGACTGAAGCCTTACCTTCTTTCGACTGTAAGCCGGACTTGTCTTCCGTCCGGCAGTATGACGTCCAGATCCATCCGACCCTCGAGGAGTTCATTGATGGCGCAATCATCGCCTGCGTTATGATATGCGTTGGACATGGCCTGTGTTTTCTGCTGTTGTTGCTGGTGCTGTTGCTGGTGGCAACGGCTAAAACGGAAAAGAATCACATTAATTCAGACCGTAGTTTATAAAGCAACAGAAAAGTTTTGAAGCATTAGAAGGTGGAGTGCAATAGTTTTACATCGAAGTGACTCGATGAAAATTTTACAAAAATCTCACACGTTTTACTTAGCGCATTTATAAAACTGAGAAACACACTAAAGGCAAAAATACTCTTTTTATGTACATATATGTTTCTCTTTACTGAAAACATAATCTCTCCCCCCCCCCAGAAAACAGGAAAAAATTCAAACGGGGAGACACTTGCTGGAATGAAAGTGAGGTTCCGTCTCCGAATGATGAATTGCTTAGAAATGTAATACTTTTTTTAAAAAATTAATTTTTTACCTTTTCTATTAATATAAAATTGATTAAATTATTAAATTTTCTTCTATTGATTATATCTGGTGCAATTTTCTCTCTCTCCCCCCCCAACAACAGAATAATTAGTGATAAAATCATAGTAAGTTACAATATTGTGAACGGTATTGATTTTTTATTAAGCTAATCATTTGTTTTTTACGCTTTTTAGGCACATATACAAATGTATAATAAATTGAAATGAATTTTTTGTTGTGAAATTAAAAAAAAAATATTTTATAAATAACTGATAAGCTATTTTAAGACATAAATATTACGCTTAAGGACATAAATTTTACGAAATAAATATAGAAAATAATTTTAAGGCATAAATATTACTCTAACATAACATAACAACTTCAAACGAAATTACGGACTTCCATCCAAACATACGGACATACGGACTTCCAAATATACGGACTTCCATCTGATTGGTGTCCTGGAAAAGAACATCACAGCTTTTGAGTTGGCTGATTACTTATTTCCAAAATTAACTATAATAAATTACCCAAAGATTTATCTCTACCTTATCTTTCATGATGCGGTAACAAACTGTTGCATAGTAAATAAACAATATTTTGTATTTGGCAGTGGCAACATATTGCTTTTAAATCATTGAGTTCTTTTATTAAATTTAAAACACGAATATCTTAAGTTTCGACGGGTGGCAACACACTTGTCGTGTTGCCATAATATATCGCATAATCAGAGCTAACAGTGTTGTCACACACTGTTTGCTCTGATTATGCGATACCTACATACAAATTTTTCATTGTTTAATAGTAGAGATTATTATTATTATTTAAAGTTTAAATTTGTGAGATGCAAAAAGTTCAATAATATTTTTCAATGATTTCTGATGAAAATTATTGGAAAAGATCTGTGATGAGAGGAAATTGTTTATTTACACCATATCCTTAACCTTAAGCTACGGTACACAGAATAAGATAACTTCGAAATATTTTGATTCTCTAGCGTGTATTTTTTGCCCTCATAACCCCATTTTACTCAGTTACATTTACAACTGATAACTTCATTTCGTAAAACCTGTCTACCAGATGCATTGTTTTGACATAAAAATACCGACATTTAGTTTTTATATCGTGAGTTTTCTGATTAAAATTGAAACATAAATATCTTACGCTTTAGTAAATGGCTTCACAAAACTTTTATATAGTTGACTTTTTAATCATAAGTTTCTTAAATTCACATAAAAAAGGAAATAAATAAAAACAACAACCAGAAAAAATATGAAAGGTTACAGATTTTAAATTATGTCCAAAGGCACTTTTTTTAACGTTTTGTGTGTTACCATTCCTGGTGAATGTTTGAATAAAATATGAATAAAATCTGAAAGCTTTCAGATTTTACATTACGCCCACAGGGGCGCTTTTTTTTTTAACGTTCTGTGTGTTACGTTTATTTATTAAATATCAAGTTATTCGAACTTAAACCATAAAATTTCAATTCAGAAATATTGCAAAATAATTTTAAAATGAGTTTATCTTTAGAATTTCCGATACACAGTTCCGCGCGTTGGAGATAAAAAGGGATTTTTTTTTTCTCTCGTAGAGTGTTGCCATTGCTCGCTTTTAAATCGTTGAGTTTGTTAATCAAATATTCGTTATAGTTTTACAAAGTAGGAAATCTATAATAAAACAAATTCCAAATTTCAAATTTGGTCTTCCACATTGCCCATATTCGTAGAGTATTACGTCATTCAAAATTCGATGGCTCTATGTACCGTTGTTTTATCACAATGCGAGAAATAGACATACATTTATGGAGATTTTTCATTATTTAATCTCTTCAAATATAATGCAGGACTCTATCATTTGGTGGCAACAGTTTGAAAAGTGAGACGGACATTTATATTGAACCAACGCAAAATCGCAAAACGAAAACAATAGCCCTTCAGGGACCAAAGCCCTCTGGACTAATAAATTCGAAATTCAAAATTCGGGCTTCTAGGTGCTCATGTTCGGGAGCAGGACTACGCGTATTCAAAATTTGGTGGTTCTAGGTACCTCTGCTTTTCTACACTGCTATTAAATTTGAAAAAACATAAAGATATTGCGTCTTTCTCATTGGCAACACACTTCTTTAATATAACTGAGATTTCTGATTAAATTTGAAACATAAATGTCTTAACAGTGTGGCAACACGAAGAATTTAAATCTCTGTTTTTTAATCAAGAATTCCTTAAATTTTCACAAAATATGAAATAAATGAAACACAAATTCGAGCTTCGGCTTCGAGTTGCATGTGTTCGGGTGGAGAACGATATGTATTCAAAATCTGTTGGCTCTGATTATGCGATACCTACATACAAATTTTTCATTGTTTAACAGTAGATATTATTATTATTATTTAAAGTTTAAATTTGTGAGATGCAAAAAGGTCAATAATACTTTTCAATGATTTCTGATGAAAATTATTGAAAAAGATCTGTGATGAGAGGAAAATTGTTTATTTACACCGTATCCTTAACCTTAAGCTACGGTACACAGAATAAGATAACTTCGAAATATTTTGATGCTCTAGCGTGTATTTTTTGCCCTCATAACCCCATTTTACTCAGTTACATTTACAACTGATAACTTCATTCCCCAAAACCTGCCTACCAGATGCATTGTGTTGACATAAAAATACCGACATTTAGTTTTTCTCTTCCAAGTAGTGTTCTTGTTTCATGTGTACATTAAATTATAGTAATATTGAGAAGTTTTGATATCAAAGTTAAGGAATAAATAGAATTCTCAGCATCTATTGTAAAAGTAGAAAGTAAAAAAAAAAAAAAAAAAATAAGTATGTATCAGAATATAGTTTGCCGAGTGAGTATTTGTAGCATGGAATATAAGAAATGTACTTTGATAGAATTTATTACATTATTTATTTATATTGAAATTTTATCACTTCAAATCATGAGTATATTAGCAACTAAAAATTAAATCTTTTCATTTAAAAACGCATCGTTGTTAGCAACTGTACGATAGCTTAAAAACTCGAGCGTGTTTCCGAAGAAAGTGCCAACATTCGGTAAATGTTATTCGATTATTTCAGGAATTCTCGAAATTTTTAATTTGGAAGATTATATTTTGACCTCTCAGTAAAGATCTTAAAGGATGCGTGATGTTGTTGTCGTATCTCATTTGTCTGACATGACAATGGTTTCAAAACAAACCTGTTACAGTTTATGTTACTGAGCACGAGAAGGCGTGGCTTTTTTATTTTTATGCTCGTTATATTGTTTTACCTCATTGCGGATTTTTGATAAAAATGCAGTGGCAAAAAAAGTAAAATGATGAACGTTCAAATGTAAACAGGATTTGTTGCAAATATAGTTGTAAAAATAAAGTTTTGCGTGAAAACGAAAATGACAAAGAATTCCAAACATCTTGTAAAATCCTCAAGAAAGGTAAGCAAAAGATTATTTATCAAATACTAAAAATAAGAACAAGAAAAAGTACGATAAATTTCTACAAAGCCCACGAATATTATCGTGGCAATTTTTGCGCCTGTCGTTTGGCATGAGCCTTGAATACCATGCGGGTGACAGCTCAGTTCCGCCTTAATTTTGAGGAAAAGTACGCCGGGGAACGAGTCCAAGGGTCTCTCACCCCTCTCCTACTACCACCAAATCACTAGAGGACTTTCTGCTTGCCATATATTTAGAGTGCTCACCATGCTGCACAAACGCTATACAACATCCATGTCTTCTCCGGGTATTGAATTCAGACCCTTTGGTACGGTAGTTAAGAGTCGCTAACCACTATTCCATTGGGTGGCAAAATCCGTGGTGACTAAACAGTTTAACCATTAAACCAGGATATGCGAGAGCAATTTAATTCTAAATAACAGGATTAATAAATAAATCTTTAAATTTTGGAAAGATTTCTGGTCAATAAGTATTATTATCGTATATTCGCACGTGTCAAAAACTGCAAGAAAATCGCCCTGGTAGAAAGCAGTTAAAAAGCATTTTTGAGATTTGATCCCAACGAATATATAAGAAAACCTATTTAAACGAACCCTTTTAAAAATTCATTTCTAGCGGCATCACATTGCCGGATTAAATAAAGTGAAAGACCGATTTTAATATGATAACACTTTTGTTTGGGGAGGGACTATCTTAAGTTCCGTAAGAGAATAACTTTCCACAATTTTTGAATTCTTAACTTAAATATTCTTAAATTAATTAGCACTGAAATCAGACCATATGACTGAATGGATATATAATTCGTATATGACTGGTGGTTCGGTCCGGGTTTCGAATCCCGAACGGCTTGGTTGTTTTCCCCGTGTGTAATGCGTATTCCTTAGGATGTCCTCTACAAAAGCATCCCTCCTGTCAGGCAGATAGCTCTCAAGTGATTTGCGATAGCTAAATAAACCATACTAAGACTAGAGTTAACAATATCCACGTGGAAAAAGAAAGCTTCATTTCCAATTTCAGTCAACGAAAAATGAAAAATCATAAAATTGTGAAAAACCCGAAAGCTTAAAATCAAAAACTTCACTCTTACTTTTGTCGATATTTTTTACTGTCTCTTAATGTTTCTTCATTAGTGCTTTCTAATGCGACAGATGGACAAGCAAGAAAGTTACGCACTGCTTCTGCGCATTGT